CACGGGCCCAGCTGCTCCGCGGCATGTGGGATCCTCCCGGACCGGGGCACGAACCCATGTCCCCTGCATCGGCAGGCGGACTCTCAACCACTGCGCCACGCCACCAGGGCTGACCTAACTTTCTAAACATCTCCTGGATCCATCCTCATCTCCTCATCCCCATGCCATCCCCCTAGTTACCATTCTCTCTTGCCTAGAAGTCCACAGCGGCCTCCTAACTGGTCTCTCTGCCTCCCTCCTGCCCTTTCAAGATCCAGTCTCCCTACAGAAGCCAGAGCAATCTTAAACCAACCTTTCAGATCACATCACACTGTCCCACTCCCACCTACCCATCCACCCAAGAAAAAGAAAATTCTACGAGTTCCCGGTGAAACCCCAACTCCTTCCTCTGGGTGATGGTTAATGTCGGTGGGCCCAGTAAAGTAGATGGCCCTCCCCAATGTGGGTGGGCATCTTCCAACCCATCGCAGGACTGAACAGAACAAAGGCCAGAGGAAGGAGAAATTTGCCCTTTTTTTCTCTGCCTCGCTGCTTGAGCTGGGACATCTCATCTCATCCCCCGCCCTTGGACTGGGATTCACACCATCGGGCTCCCTGGGGTCTCAGGCCTTCAGACTTGAGCTGGATTATACCACTGGCTTTCCTGGGCCTCCAACTTGCAGAGGGAAGATTGTGAGACTTCTCAGCCTCCATAATCACGTGAACCAAACCCTTGCAATTCCCCTTTTATAAATATACTTGGTTGTTTCTCTGGAGAACTCTAATATACCCTGCCTAATGCATCCCATGGGATCTGGCCCCTGCACATCTCTCCAGCTTAATCCCCTAACACTTACCCATCTTCCACATGTTTATGCTTAGCCACACTCACCTCCCTTCTGCTCCTAGAACATGCCAGGCTCTTTCTGGCCTCAGGGCCTTTGCACTAACTGTTCTTTCTGCTGGCACTACTCTTCCCCTTTCCTGCCTTTCGGATCTCAGTTTAAAATGTCACCTCCACAGCAAGACCTCCCCCGACCACCGGGTCTAAAACAGCCCCCGTCACTCTCTGTTCTATTACCCCATCTGATTCTCTTCTTAGAACTTACTACCATCCAATATTTTCCTTACTTATTTGTTTACTGTCTGTCTGTCCCTCAGTGGGATGTGGGTGAGGCTGTGTTCTGTTTTATTTATCACTTTACCCCTGGACTAGTCCAGGGTCTGGCACAGTCCAGGGTCTGGCACACAGCTGGTACCCAGTACATGTCTGTTGAATGACTACAGGAAGGAACAGGAGCCAAGTACTCTGCCAGGTGTTTTGTATACATGATCTCTAAGCTTTACAACAGCTCTTCAAGGTAGGTTTAATTATCCCCATTTTACAGACGAGGAAACTGGGACACAGAGGGGTTAGGGACACAGTCCCTAACCAGAATATAAACCTAGCTTGGACTCCAAAGTCCAGGCTGATTTTTATACTATTTGATGATGGGGTGACAGTGAGGGAGGTGGGGATGACAGAGCCCTGGGGAAGGGTGAAGTCAGTGGAATGGTCATTCGGACCTCAGGCATATCTCTGGGCCTCCATTTTGCTGTTGGTCCCTGAGAGGGGTCCTTGGGCCCCTCCAGCCCTGATGTCTCTGAAGCTGGCCCTCAGGCCGTGTCCATAATCCCAGATCCTCAGAGGGACAAAGCCAGACTCAAATTCTAAGGAGAGGAGGGAACAGATCCCTGAAGAGATTTCTTCCCCTGGGTGATTTGGACCCCAAATGGGAGACTGCTGAATCGGATGCACTGCCAGTGTGAGTCACTGGGCATGAAGATTTCACTGTAAGGCTTTAGTGGTGGGAGAGTGTAGGGCGTGAAGGACGGACTCACTACACTCGTCAATCCTGGAGCCCTCTATGGGATTTGCCTGAGAACCTGGGGATGCAGTGAGGGGGACACCCTGGAATTCCTCCTGTCTTCTCAGGCAAGGACAGAGCTGCTTTGGGGGACTGAGGGTCCTGACTTCCCAGAGGCTTCAGGAAGGGACATGCTCCTGGACCCCGTTCTGACCTTTAGTTACTGAACCTCCTCCCACCATGTCAGAACAACAATGGGCTTTGGCCTCCCCATCTGCAAATGGGAATGAAGGTACCACGCACACCCCTGCAGGCTGCTGACGGCCAGAGATGGCGGAGCACACCAAGCACCATGGGCTGGCGGAGCCGGCCTGCAGGCTGGCTGACGAAGGGCAGGCTGACCTTCTCAGGGCGGCACCCAGAGGTTCCATTCTGACCTGCCCATGAGCCGTGGCCTTCTGAGCCTGACTTTTCATTCTGGGGGCAGGGTGGCCCAAAAGCCAAATTCCAGTGTCTCCTTCTACAGCCTAACAACCGCAAGAGCCCCCGAACCCCCTTACCGAGGCCTTTCTGCGGGGCTGGGGAGCGGAACTCCATGAGGTAACTCAGGTAGGGCTTCTCGGTGCTGATCTCGTAGTATCTGATGTTTCCATCTCCCTAGGGGCCGGATGTGGGGAGGGAGGTGAGGAAGGAAGAGAGGTCCTGGTCCAGCGGGCTGCTGAAAAGAGCCTCTGCCATGCCTCCGAGGTGGTCAAAAGACCAGGGAGGCCTGACCTCTAGGTCCCCAGTAGGGGACTTGCTGGGGGCGGTGGGGTGGAGGTCGGGTGCTGTGCCCGTGCGTGCACGGTCACGGGCCTACAGACAGACTTTCTAACAAGATCTCCTGGCAGGTGCCTCCAATCCCATCATTAGGGATGATTCACGGCAGGCTCTGATCCTTATTCCCAAGTAAAACCCCACTCCAATCCACCCCTAAAGGAATTCTCAGTCAGTGACACCTCAACAGAATGAGTGTCCGACTTGAGGGTAGGTTTTGACCCATGTTGGGTCAGGGGAAGGGCAGAGAGGCTAGGCTCTTCTTGGGAGGTAGGGCAGGAGTGGGGGCCCAATGGGGGCAGGGGTCTCCCACAGCCTGTCCCTGTCCCTCCCCCATCTTCTCCTACCTTTCCAGCCAGGTAGAGCATGTGTGTGTCAGCGTCGTAGAAGGGGAACAGGAGGCCGGAGAGCCCATCGATTTCCTCCTCGATCAGGGGCATGGACAGGTCCTCCTGTGGGCCGGGGGCCAGTATCAGCCCGTATCCAGGCAGGATGGCACCTCGCCTTCCCCAATCCCAGCAAAGCCCCTGGAGTAACAACGCTTTGATGTTGCCCCACCCGCTCCGGCCTCCCTGCGGCTGACCTGGTCCCAGAGGGCGATCTGTCTCGTGTTCCACCTGGAGACCCCCGTCGTGAGAAGCCGTTTCATATTTCCCAGGAAGACCACCCGGTTCACTCTGTGGTTTTTGCAGTTCGCCTCCTGGCAGGGACAGAGAGCTGGTGAGCCAGGCCCCAGACAATAGGGTGCTGGACTGGGCTGCCTGGTGGCCCCCAAACACACGTCCATGTCTTAATCCCCGGAACCTCTGGGTCATCCACGGGGGCCCTAAATGCCATCACAAGTGTCCTTATTTAGAAGAGAGAGGTAAAGGGAGATTCCACAGACGCAGAAAGGAGAAGGCAGTGTGACCACGGAGGCACAGATTGGAGAGGTGAGGCCACAAGCCAAGGAAGCCACCAGAAGCCGGAAGAGACCAGGAAGGCTTCTCTCCTAGAGCCGCCGGAGGGAGCCAGACTTCCGGCCTCCAGAACTGCGAGATGATCAATTTCTGTTGTTGCAAGGCACATTGCTTGTGGTAGTTTGTCACAGCAGCCACAGGAAATGACTACAGGTGCTGTGGGGCAATGGAGGCTGGGGACCAAGAAACCAGGCCTCGCTGCCAGGTCCCAGAGCAGATGGGGGATGGGGAAGGAGGGAACTAACTGGACCAAGTCCCAGGCAGGGCCTGAGCTGGGCTGGGTGCCAGGTGCTCTCACCAAGGCATCTCTGAACTGTCACAACAATACCTACTGCAAGGACTCTCTGAGGATGGAGAGCTCGAGGCTCAGGAGGCCAGGGACTCATGCTGGTTCACTGCGGGGCGACTCACTTCACCGGGGGCTCCTTCTAACTGGGCCATCCTCTGCCTTCTCTCCTGCCTCTGGACTCATGACACCTCCTTTCCCTCCTAACACATGGCGGCCCTTGGCCAGGATGAGTCAGCGTGAGGCAGGAACCAGAGGCTGGTGGAACCAGAGGCAGTGCAGAGACCCAGGCTGGCGTCACTCGCTCTGGACTTTAGTTCCAAGTTCTGCCGAAAAAGTGTAACCCTGGAGGAGTCCCTCACCCTCTCCGGGCATGTGTCCACATCTGTGAGAAGGAGGTTGGGGTCTCTGCTCTCTTACATCTTTTCTGCTTGGCATGGGCTCTGGGGTCCAGCTGTCCGGGTTTGAATTCTAGCTCTTCCTGTAACTGTGAGAATCAGGTCAGCCCCTCTCCAAGGGGCAGCGTTTCCATGTGGGAAATGGGAAGAGCAACAGTACCCACCTCAGAGGATTAAATGAAGGGACGATGGGGAGACCCTGGCACAGCGCCTGCCACACAATGAGCTCTGAGTAAATGGTGGCTAACACTAACGACGCTAATGACTACGGTGATTATTGTTTGTAGTAGCAGATGACATTCTGGTCCTGCAATATTGGCTTTTTCCAAGATAAACACAACCAGGTCACGCACCAATCGTTCTTGTGTTTGGAGGTAAACCTCAGATTTCATCCAAATTTTCCATCCCATCTAGCTCCATGACTGGCACGCAGTAGGTGCTCAAGAAATGTAAATTTCTTACCCCCAAATGACATCTAATCCCTTCCTCAGAGTTAAGACCCAGAGTAAAAGACCAAAACTGGAGCTAAGTTCACCATCCACCTCCCCTCTCGGAGCTGTCCCTGGGACTGACACCCCAAGCCGCTTTCTCCAGGCTCGTCCCATGCAGGTGGCCGGGCAGTGAGTCCAAAGTCCCCTCCTCCTGTGCCTACAATGGTCAACACCCAGGGATTCATGTGCTGAAGGGGGTTACCAGTTTGGCCCCCAGAGCAGGCAGAATCCCATCTGGGGAAAGGGGTGGAGTCTGTGGGAAGGCTACTGAGGTCCCTCCGCTTCCAGAACAAGGCAGGGCTCCCATGAGCGGAGAAGGGCCCAGAACAGATGGAGTGGTGCCCAGAGGTGCAGGCCAGGTGCTCGGGAGAGGGGAGCTGGCACAGCCTTTCCCTCCAGGGCTGGCTGAAAGCAGAGCCCTGGGTCCCAGTACCTCTCCTTCCCCTCGAGAAAGACGCGGGGCTTCACCTGCAGAACGCGGCCGGAGCGGGGCTCGATCACACGCAGTTTCTTGTCCTTGCACGTGGTGGTAAGCAGGCTGCCGTCGGTGTTGAGGGACATGCAGAGGATCACGTCCGAGTGGCAGTCTATCATCTTCACCGGTTCGCCCACGTCCAGGTTCCAGATGAGGACCTGGGAGGGCGGATACACAGGAGGCGGGCTCAGCCCTGCTGCTGCTGGCACGGGGTGGCTGTCCCCAGTCTGCACCCGATGGCCCTGGGAGAGACGCTCCATGCGGGGTTGGATGTGCTGGGATGCGGGATGGTGTCGGTGGGTTCTATATCAAAGGCTGATGCGTCCCTGTCACACAAATCCACAACTACCCTTGGGCAGATCCCAGCCCCAGCCTGGGCTCAGTTTCTGCTTCTAGCAAGAAGGGTGAGTGTTCCTGGCCAGGTTCCACTGGCTGGCACACCTCTTTTGAGGGCATGCCTGGGGGCAGGGGCTGGGGCTCCATTCTCCCCACCAGCAGCTTTGGATGCTTCTTTTTCCTACTAGGAGGGAAGCAGCCACTTCTTGGTTAAGAAGTGGCCAGGCAGAGAGTGTGGGCACGGAGTGGGCATTCTTCTCCAATGTATCAGTGCCAGAGACAGCAGTAAAGATGCCTCCAGCCTCTGTGAACCCCAGGAATGACGGGCGCACGGAAGATGCTCAGCTGTGTTGTTGAATGAGCGAATGAATGGATGTGACAATACTGGTTAACAGGCTCGGGAAAGTAACAATGCTCCCTACAGGCCCCCCAAAGTGCCTTTCTCTCTCCCTCCACTTCCCCGCCGAGCCGGCTCTGGCCACAGTGCCCACCGGCTGCCCACCTTGTAGTCATAGCCAGCACTGAACAGGATGTTGTTGGTGGTAGGGTGCCACTCGACCAGCCCCACGCGCCGGCTGTGCCCATGCAGCTCCAGAAGAGCCTCCGTCATGTTCCGCTTCAGCCCGCCCTCGGGGATCTCCCAGATCCGCACCTGCAGAGGGGAAGGAGGGCCTCAGCTGGATGGGCAGGGCCAGGAGAAGCCCCTGCTGCCCGCTTCCTCAGACACCAGGCTTTCGGAGATCTGCCTAGTAAGGTATCTCCTGGCCAGGGTGATGGGCAGAGCCCGACTGAGGCCTGGGCGGGGAGGTTGCAGGGTGTGGCTAGAGAGAAAAGAGACCATCTCCTCTGTGCCTTTGGGAGAGTTTTCTCCAAGAAGTCTCTGCAGACCTTGGCGACTGTTCTTACTGGCATATCGTGATTGTTATTGTCTAGCCAGGCCCAGAGGATCACACATGGAGCAGCTTTTAGCAAGTGCTGTATTCAAAGCCTATCTCTGCTTCCCTTCCACACCCTTGTAATAGCGCCTTCAGCCCCAGCGCCTCTGTTTGTACCACATGGCCTGTCCCTCACTCTGTTCCCCACCCGGGATGGACACCTGAGCAGAGGGAAACCCATCTGGGAGACTGGGAGGCCCAGAGTCTCTCCTGAAAGATGATGAACCGAGGGGCAGAGACCGATGAGATGCTGGAGCCTGAGCCGAAAGGATGCAGAGCCTGGATGCAGCTATTACCAGTCTTATGGATGCTGATAAAGAAGCAAAGAAGAGAGAGGAGGGTGCAACTCGTGGAGAGAAGCAGAGAGAAGCAATCATGCGGCCCTGGAGAGAGAGAAGCTGAGCAATTTCTCTGCGATCTTTGAATAACCCCCTGATTATTTACGTCAACGCTGGTAGGCTTCTGTTTCTCAAGCCAAGCATACCCTGCAAGTTTCAACTGTTTCATCTATAAATGGAGCGGGGCGGGGGGGGACTTTGCCTTGCCTGGCCTACTGGCAGAATAAAATAAGATAGTGGTTGTAAGAGTTTGTAAACTATAAAGTGCTCTAAAGACCTATGCAATTATAGTTCTTGTTATAATTGTTATCATCATCATTAATGCTACTTATTATGATCTAACTGGGTGGGGAAGAAAAAGCACATGTGACTATAGCTTAGGACACCTTTAACACAAACGTTTTGAAAATCTGAACTCCACCCTTGCCAGTAAGGAGAAAAACAGGGAAGACAGCTTTGAGACACCATTTATAATCTTCTAAAATAGCCAACTGAAAGAAAGAAAAAAAAACAGTACTGACAAGATTATACGGGAACTTATAGATTCAGTTGGTGTTGGTAGTATTACAAATCAGTAACTCTGTTTTGGAAGCAATTCGGCAATCCTTAGTAGGAACAATAGAGACATTTGTATTATATTCCTTGATCTAGCAATTTCACTCTTAAAATTCAAAATAAGCCCAAATCTCCATGCATGAAGATGTTCATTGCAATACAGAAAATTCAGAAATACTCCAAGTGACCAACATTAGGGAAACAATTTAATATGTCACAGCAATATGGAATATTAGCCATTTGACGATAATTCTGAAGGCTGTGAATAAAGAGGAAAAACATGTTAAAGGAAGCCAAAGGCAGTCCCGAAGACAGGGGAGCAAGGCTGGGAACCGGGGGTACCTCTAAGGGAATTCCCTTGTGGGTTTCCCGTCTTGGTGCTTTACCCTCAGACTGTAGAAATGAGTATTTCCCACATGTTATGTTCCCCCGAAGACCCAGCTCGGCACATGTAGACCATGGGAGGCTCCAGGTCCAGTCAAGGATTAGGGGTCACCCTTAGGAGTACCATTCTCAGTTTCAAAAACATACTTGAGAAAAAGTTTATAATTAGGGGACAGTTTGAGGTTTTCCTGTCCTCATTGAATCATCTCCTGTGGTTGCTCCAGCTCTCCAGGAAAGCCCAACACTCACATAAGCCTGCATGGTGGCAGGAGCCTGGGGGAGGGAGGTGATGGAAAGGGGGCCCAGCATGCCCTACGGTATTTCCCCGACAGCCCTGTTCAAGGGTCTTCTGAGATAAGGTCTCGTCTGGAAATGGCAGGGAGGGTGGAGTGGGGACCAAGGTAGATGACTCAGTAGTCACCAAGAAGACACTCATTCTTCTTGTCCCCAAATGTTCCAGAGGAAGGTGACCCTTGAAGAGCGGAGACTAATGCTTGTGTTACACACACACACACACACACACACACATACACATCATACATACAATACCTCCCCCATCCTCCACATTTCTGTCTTTTTTACTCAAAGGTGTGCTATGATATATGTGCTTCTGCAACTTGCTTTTCTCATGTAACAAGTGCTAGTGGGCATTTTGCCACACCACTACACATGGCTCTACCTTATTTTTTTAAGTGGCCAGAGGGGACAGCTGTTATGTGGCCATGCTGTGATGGATTTAATCAACTTCTGTTAATGGACACCTGGGCTCTGCCCATTTTTTTCATTGTTACAATTCATTCTATGATGATCAGGCCTGTCATACAAGTTTGTGCATGGCTGTGAGTATTCCTGTAGGACACATGCCTAGAAGTGTTTCACTTTTTTAGTTACTGTAAAATTGTCCTCAAAAGCTGTCCCAGGGACTTCCCTGGTGGCGCAGTGGTTAAGAATCCCCTTGCCAATGCAGGGGACACGGGTTTGAGCCCTGGTCCGGGAAGATCCCACGCGCCGCGGAGCAACTAAGCCCGTGCGCACAACTACTGAGCCCATGCAGCTAGAGCGCCTAGAGCCTGTGCTCTGCAACAAGAGAAGCCACCGCGCAATGAGAAGCCCGCGCACTGAAACGAATAGCCCCTGCTCACTGCAACTAGAGAAAGCCTGCACCCAGCAACGAAGACCCAACGCAGCCAAAAATAAAAAATTAAATTTAATTAAAAAGAAAAAACTTAAAAAAAAAGCTGTCCCAGTTTTTACCAGCAGAGTCTGAGAGTGTTTTTTTACCCATGTCTCTAAAACTATACCTTCGAAAACAGGTTTCTGCCCATCAGATCAAAAATGCCATCACCCTGTTGTTTGGATTTGCATGTCTTTGATTCTTAGAAATACCAGGCATCTTTTTCCGTGTTGATAGGCTACCCTTGTTTACACTTGAGCAGGAAGCTTGAGATGCTTTCAGGGTCAAAGGGAGGAAACTTGAAGGAGCAGAAAGGCAGGCCAGCGTGGAGGCATTTGGGGGCAAAGGATCTTGTCTATGGCCAGACAAGTACATACACGCGCGAACCCATGTCGTTCAGTGTATAAGTGTTGATTAGGAAGGGGAGAAAATCTGGCCTTTGAGAAAATCTTTGAAACCAAAAGTTGAGTCTCATTCATTCCACTCACACCTCTTATGAGCCAGGCCGTGGGATAATGAGGCAATGGGAGGGGCGCTGAGCTTGCCCCATAGCCTGCTCCTGAGCGCACATGGCAGAGAAACTACAGGAGCACAGAGCTGGGGGCCCTGCATCCAGCCTTGGGGGTGACGGGGTGGGAGGGTCAGGAGGCACAGTGTTATTAGAAGAGGGGATGTGACCCACATTTGAAAAGACAGGCTGGGAATGTGGGGAAGGATGAGACAGAAAAATGACCCCGTGTGTGGGTTCAGGCACAGTGGGCAGAGAAACCGCAGGAGGGTCAGCCCGGCTGGTGTGGGGCAGGCTGGCGGGTGGCAGAGGAGGCCAGAGGCCATGTGTGTCATCCCTGGTTATCGACGTCCCAAGAAATCCTGCTCGGGCTGAGGCTCAGAAGGAAGCCTTTTTCCAGAACAGCCTAATTCCCGAGGAGCCAGCTAACGGAGGCATCCCTGGATGGCATCACGTGCAGGGTAAGGTAGAGACAAGGGGGAAGCTGTGAAGGGCGGGTCCACTCAGGCTCTAATCCCACTGACCAGCTGGATGACCTTGGACAAGCCAGTTAACCTCTCTGAGGTACAGGATCCTCAGGTACAGGATGATGAATTGAGAGGTATGTACCTTTTAGAGGTGTGCGGGTTGAGCTAAACTGAGCTTCAGGGTCCTTGTGAGTCTGAGGCTTTCTAGCCATAGGAGCTGATTTGTTGGCGTGACAGCTCTGCCTAGGAACCGAGGGGCTAAGCCAAGGGGATGGAGAGGGCAGGCACTGTCTGTGACCAGGCTCAGCCCCCGGACTGGCGCCAAGTCCAGAGGAATGAAGGGCTGCAGGGGGGAAGCCAAGAGCTGTTTTCACCAATAACTGCTAGAGTGGGGTCTCAAATGGAAAATGTCCCACAGAGAAGGAGAGAGGCGTCTTGCCTCATAACTCCATTTGATTCCAGCCACTTCTCTCCCTGGGCCCCAGTTTTCTCTTCTGCACACTGAGACAGTATTAATCTTCCAAACTTCTCTGCTTTTGACATCATTGAATGTTATCACCGGGGGGGAAGAGACTAGCTCCGTTTGATCCACCACTACAGCTAACAGTTGGCAGCACGCACGACAGGAGCTCAGAGGAGGAGCTGCAGTTCACAGTGGGCCTAAGTAGCTGGAAAAGGAATTCCAGTCCCTAAATATTCAAGGGATTTGCTGGGAACAAAGAGTGGATGGGTGTGGGAGGAGCGCTATAGATCTGTTCAGAGGTTGCTCTCAGAGAGGTTACTTCAATTCAACAGGAAACCAAATAGAGTTGGTTTCAACTCTATCCCCAAACAGGATTTCTGGAAGGAAGGGGAGGGGAGAAGTGGCAAAAGCGCTTTCTCCAGCAAGCCAGCTGGGCCTGGGACTGTCCCTTTCATAGGTCCCTGGGTCAGAGCCCTGTTTAGTTAAATTCAGTTCCAATCAATCCAACGAAATATGCCTTCCCCCTCCCTGGGTCACAGTGTTGGCCACCGGGGGCCAGTCCTTGGTCTCAAGTAGCTCACAGTCTTGTGGGGTTGACAGCAGACACGTGCAGACAAGGCTAAGCCAAGGCGGCTGAAAGGGACAGTTTATAAAGCTGCAAAACCAAGTGTCCCTGTGCATGGGTGAGGGAGCAGCTGGGCCAAGAAAGTGAGAGCTTTGTGGCCTTACAAGCTCCATTCGAATCCAGGCTCCGACCTTATCGGCTGTGAGACTTCAGCCAACTTATTAGCCTCTCTGAACGTCAGTCTTCCCAACTGTAAGAATAAT